ATATATATATATATATATATATATATATATATATATATATGTATGTATAAACCAAACACAGACTGATGCACGAGGGAGTACAACCTGACACTTCACCACGGTACATTTCGGGAGATTTTCCTCCCTATCACTTGCACAAATCGTAGTAGCCGGGAGCCTCTAATAATGAAGACAATTTAGTGTACTAAGTCTGTTTAGAAATTTTGGAGAATTTAACTTTCGCAAACCTAACTTGTTCCATGTTACAGTTTCAGTTTATACAACCGTTAACCTTGAACTATCGTGCACCTGTTTTGGTTGCTGTCTTTTTACTGCCCGTTGGGATGAACATTAGGAGTTGGTGGTCTACTCGGAAAATCTGTCGAATAGGTTTCCACAGCATTCCGGTCCTGATTTACTTCCCCCTGACTCTCTCACTGCATCCCTTNTGTTAAGGTTTTGTCTACTAAGTTAATTTTCATATCAATTTTAAGTTTTTGCAACCAAGTGGACGACTCAATTCAAAAGAATATGAAGTCACCTGGTGTTACTCTTTTATTGTCTTGGATGTTATTCGTCACCTGACAACCACAAAGATGAACTTCCTGGGTTGATTATTTGCCCCATGCCCTCGTTAACTGAGGGCTGGCACCGATATCATCTGGCATGGTCAAATTCAAACAGCGCTTCTTATTTATTAATGTAACTACATGCGGAATTCACGTGATGAACCAAAGACTGTTGACTATGCAGCGAAAACCCATCTGATTTCTTAGGATAGCGATCAAGATAGTTTTGCAACTGGCACTTGCTCACTAAACATGAATATTTTGATTATCAGTGTTCAAAAATTCTCCCTTCTCTTAGCAAAACAGCAAAGTTTATATTTGCGCCCGTCTAGTTTTCTATCTCTATAAGGATATGCATATTGTAACATTTCTGGAACCGAATTTGTTGCCAGGTTGAGCAATCTGCTACACGGTATAACTATGGCACAACGCGTCTACTGGTGATGTTTTTTCTCTCATGATTCTAAAGACTGAATGCATTCTACTAAAGAACGTCCTAGTGAGCGCTATTAGACATCCTTAGCGAACCACATATCTGAAATAATTCCTCATTTATACGGAAGCAGGTTCGACAAGACGGTGATTCCTCTGTCCTAGAAACACGATATCATTTCACTTACAAAAATGGCTGCTGAGGTGATCCTGCGAACTACCTTCCAGTTGCACTTTGTTTTGTTCTGTCAAAAGTAATGGGCTCAGTTGTTGCTGAAGCTCTGATAGAGAATTCCGAGTGTTATAACATTCTTTCATCGGCACTATAAATCTACGGCTTGCACGAGGTGAGTGTACAAGACCAGTCGATGCAGGGGAGACATAGACGTAGTCTACTTGGACTTCTTCAAAGCTTTTGACGGGTTCACCATCGTATACTGTTGCTAAAGCTACATAACTACGGCGTTCGAGGACTACTCCTTGAATAAGTTGGGAAATTTCGTCGACAAAGTACCGTATCGGTTAATCGTTCTTTATCGGGAACAATTAAGACTGCTCGTGGAGTTCCATAAGGATCCCAAGTCAACGTTAAAAAATGCAAGGTTGTATCCTTGCGTCACAGGGGTCTCTTTCGATACGTACTTGTAGATCAGCCATTGCCGCGGGCCCAAACGAAAAGAATTTGGGAGTTATTGTACGTAAGTAACTTTGATGTTCCATACATTGCACTAAATCATCATCAAAGGCCGTGAGGACAATTTGCTTACTGAAACGTGTTTTTGGATCAGTCGAACAAGACCTATTGTCCTGTTTGCCATCAGCATACATTAGCCTACACACCGAGTATGCTATACAAGCTTAGAATCCATGACTGATTCTCGATCAAGAGATACTCGAATATCCTCAGAGAGCAGCAGCTAAAATGGTCAAATGGTTACCATCTAAAACCTACAGTGAAACGCTTTATATTCCGGGACTCTATTTGTCTTAATGCCGTCGAGGGGAGACGTGGTCCTTGCATATCGAATGCTACATCATCCTAACCACCCATGTGGTACTCTATTAACACTATCCAGGAATGGCAACCCCAGGCGACACATCCGTCTAAACGTTTACTCAGAAAGGTTGGGCTAAAATACATGCGTCACTCTTTCAGTCCAAGAATTTGCTCTACTTGAAACTCTCTTCCACCTCAAGTTTTTGTGCTCCGACCATCAATTTATTCAAGTCACGGCTTGATAACGCATTGAAATACAAATATGTTCAACACCCATGACCGAAGGATATAACTTGCTATTTAATTACACTATCAACTGAAACCAGCGTGTACAGATTCTATGAGATTCAATAAGCATCAGCTTTGCGATTTACCCGTTATTAGAAATTTTATTTTGAGTTTCAATTTAGTACATCTCGCCTCATCAAAGTAAATGGTTTCGTTGCGTATGCACAAGTTTCCACTTCTAAGAACATTCTGATGCGTGTTAACCAAACCTCCAACTCTCTCCAGGTAATTAGAACTTGTCGTCCTAATCCATGTTAACTGAGCCATGCGGTCGACGATGAGACGCAAAATGTCGGTGTCACTTATTGTTCTATAGACTACTCATACCATGCTTCACGCTGAATAACCTTTCGCACGACTCTGGATGTCGCATTCTCAGTTCACTGTTCGTTTGATTTCTCCTGGTCGACAATCCCGGAGGGTATACACAATTTGGTCATTATCATCGTACAGCGAGATACAGTGAAGCGAACTTCACTGATCGCTGTCAAGCTCACAATGCACACTAAGTAAATGAGAAAAGGCACAAGATGGATAGAGTCTAATTGGATTTAGACAAAGAAAGTGAACCTCCATGGTCAGCATACAGAGTACAACCTAACTTTGCATTCATAACTTTCACACATTCTGAACTGATAATAAGTGACAACAAGAACGCCACCGCTTTTGGTTAGTAGTCATATCCTTCATTGTCTCCAACCAACCAGTTGCAGAGTCTTGAATCCCAACCTGGAAGCCGCGAGACACCTACTCAACCTAACCGCTCCGGAAATTTCTTCATGCCTCGTTTCCAAGTCATCTGTTGACTTTCACGTGCTTTCCTCTAACGTAGAGCCGCGGCTACAAATAGAGCACGGTGCAATAGACGATAGCTGGGCATGCGCACACAATACGTGTCCTAGCCAGCAAAGCCTACTAATCTCAACTCGGTGCTATAACGAACCCTTCACCAAAGTATTATCACACACTCCACGGATTACCACAGTGTTGCTTAAACCCTCGCACCACTCAACCCGCGCTAAGTTATATAAACATCGACAGTTGAAAACTTCCAGACGATGAATATCTTCCACGTGCAACTTTGGGGCTTGGAGACCCCGAAGCATAACCGTGTATAGTGCCGCAGTATACACGACCTTTTTGTTTCGCGGAAACATCACGCCGACACCAAAGGTGTTTTATTCCTGCATACGCTGCTCGTGTCCTGCAAGTGCGGGCGGTTACTTAGTTGACTATGCTACCGCCATCTGTCACCCAACTGTCGCCTAATTAGGAGGAACATTCCACTGACTGCTTCTTGACTAACAGACATCAGAGCCAAGGTAGACGACGCTTGGTCTTGTAGCATCACTTTACAGTTTGAAGGTACAAAGCGCATACCAAATGGAGCCACAACTCGAAAACCTGTCAAGAGTGCTTTACGCACCCTCCACTTGTTCAAACAGATAAATAATATCGTCAGTGCACTTTAAATCGCACGGGTTTTCTCCAGTTGTCCACTTTGTGCGACTTCGAGTATTTCGTCTGCGACAAAATTGAAT